GCGGGCGTCCCCCGCCGTCTCCGCCTCCACGTCCACCTCGTCGCAGGCGTCCTCCTCGCAGGCGTCCTCCTCGCCCACCTTCTTCTTTCCTCTGTCGGCCCTCTTGCTGGCCGAGGCTAAGGGGGAACCCGCCCTCTTCCCCTTTCGGAGCAAAGGCTCCTCTTCTTCTTCCTCTTCAGCGGAGTTAACCTCCTTCTCCGCGGGGTTGACATTAGGCGCCCCATCGCCTTCTTCCGGAGCGGACGACGCCACGCTTGCCGTGTGCGCCCGAGCGGTACCACCCTTTACCGCCCTCTTCTTCCCTTTCCTCTTCTTGGGGCCGGCTGTCGGCGCCTGTGATTGGGTGGCAGGTACCTCTTGTTGAAGGGGCGCCTCTTGCTGAGCAGGCGCCTCTTGTTGGGAAGACGTTGCCGTGGCCGCCTCCGCCGCCATAGTCGCCAGCTTACTCTTCATAAGCTTGGCGATACTCGAGTAGTCCGCCCCTGCATATGACGAAAGTAAGTTAGTACATAACACAAACAAGGGGGTAAGGAAGCAGAACACCTAGACGCCTACACACCATCGTTATAATAAGCTTCAATAATGGGCGGACGATTATCTGCGGGGCGTAAGTCAACAGGCTCCCCCTCGCAAATCAAGGGGGCGCCAGCCTTCTCAGACGCCGTCAAAACCACCGGCTTATTGAAGTCATCGACATGACCTAACTCCCACTTCCTCACAAAGGCGCCCCCACTTGCAAAGAAGGAGTCTTGATAGGCCTTCACGAAGAAAAACCCGTTGAACCAGCTTCGGTTCAACTTAGGGCATTTCTTCACAAAGTGATGGGGGCAGCTTTTCTTCTTGCGCTTCTGGAGGGATAAGCAGTTGTCCAGAAGCACCATCTTGAAGAAGTATCTGAACAAGTTGAAGGTGGGCTCCACGTTGTGCTCTCGGCACCTCAACTTGAATAGGATGACAACCGTGATGACCGAGGGGGATAGGCGTCCGAGGGGGCAGGCGCACGTCATCAGGATTCCCTCCATAATCGAGTCTAGGGGAAACTGAAGCCCGAAACGAAAGTATTCCTGATAGATCCCGATCCACTTCGGGCCACAGACGCCTACCCGGGACTGAGGCGATGGAGGCGCATACCACCAGTCTCTGGGAAGCTGGAGACTGGTCACCAATTCATGAACCCGGTCCAGGGTGACTGTCGACGTGTGCTTTGGCCCAGCCACCTCGAACGATAAGTGCGACGTCTCGGTGGGCAGATGATCAGGTGGGAAACACTTCTCCCACGATGTGATCTTGTAGGACCCATCGGCGGGCAAGAAGCCAGGCGCCGAAGAACTTGACGGCCCAGCTGATGAGGAAGCAGACGCCCGCTCTAAACCAACAAATGACCCAGACGCAACGCGGACAAGGGGTAAGTGACGCCCCTACCCTAGGTGACTAGAATAAACTCAACGAAATCGACGAAGGGAAAAGGACCACTTACCACGTTGAACTGGGCGCCTTGCTTCACCACCGTCGCCGGAGGCGCCCGCGCCCGAGGCGCCCGCGCCCGAGGCGCCGGGTGCAGAGGTCTTGTCTTGTTGTGGAGACGACATCTTGGACGAGAGTGATGTGTTGGAAGCGAAGAACAGAGAGGAAAGAGGACAGAGGTCAGAGTGGAAGCTAGAGAGAAGTCAGAGCAAAAGTCTAGAGAGAGGTCAAATAGAAGAAAGTGACAGCATCACAAGGGGGGAGGGGTATTTAAAGAAAAACGAGGGCTCACCCGCCGCATGACACGTGTCAGTCATGCCGAAGGAACCCTTCCGCTCCCCCCACCTTTTGGTCTTTTCGCGAGCCACAAAACCACAGGCGGACCTTTGAGCTTCCCCCACCCTTTCCTTTTCGGGGAAATTTCTCAACTCCCAAATTTCGAATTTCGAATTTTATTTTCTCCAAATTTCCCCGACAAGCAAAGTGTGGGTGAGGGGGGCACAAGGGATAAGGACACACGTCAAGAACGACACCATGAAGCGCCCGAAAGGGAGGGTTAGTTAAAAAAGGCGCCCCGTTTGGTAAGAGGCGCCTCGGCAGGCAAGAGGCACAGAAGCACATGGAAGAGCATTCGACAAGGGACACAGCCAAAGGCGGGACGCCTACCCGCGGAAGAGGAGAGGCAAACGCACCTCGTAGGACCAAGAAAGAAGTGAGAACACGATGCATGCGCCGAGTGACAAGCGCCCTGTGACTAAGAGAAGGCTGGGTTACAACTAGAGGTTCAGTCAGGCGCTCGATGGCGAAGCCACGAGCACCTAACTGGGGGGGCAATTGTTGGGGGTATTACCCAGCAAGCTAAGAGATTGGGCTCCCCAAAGAAGGAGTTAGGGGGCAAGGCCCAAAAGGTAAGAACCAATATTCACTAGTGGCCCTCGGGCCCAAGAAAAGAGAAGGGACCTCAAGAGTAAAGTACCAAGAGCCAGGTGGCGGCCAACCGGCTGGTGGACCACGGCCTGGGGGCGCCTGTCAGGTGTCAGGAGTCTGACAGGGCGGTTAGCTGTCTCACAGTGCACCAAAAGCCAGGTGGCGGCCAACTGGCTGGTGGACCACGGCCTGCGGGCGCCTGTCGTGTGTCAGGAGCCTGGCAGAGCTGTGGAATGCCAGTCAGGTGTCAGGAGTCTGACAGGGCAGTTAGCTGTCTGGGGGCGCAGGGCATTAAATGAGGAAGGTGACGTGGCGGAGATCAACCTCGGGTTCGGTGAGTATAAATAGGGGCAGTCGATAGCATTTATGCAGGTTGGCCTCTGACACTAAAACCAGACTTGACACTTCTCTCTCTAAACTTAGTTCTGACTTGGGCGTCGGAGTGCTAACGGGCACTCCCGAGCCCTTTAGGCGCTTGTCCTTGCAGGAACCAGGCGCCTGTACTGAGTTCGAAGGGGCACAGATCGAGGAAGGTGGGACCGGAGGAACTTGGCTCAAACAAGTATAAATCCAGTTTATACCTATAAAGAAATTTGTATTACAAACTGAATTTGTGCATATATGTTATAGTACAAACTGAATTTGTACCACATCATAAATATATAAATTCTTTTATGATACAATTTCAATTTGTACTTTAACATTATAATATAAGTTTAATTTGTACATCAAAACTCGGAAACCAATACTTTAGAGAACATTAGAAAGTTTGGGGGTCGTTTGGAAGTTGTGATTGTTAAATAGATGTATTGTTGAGAATGCATGTATAATATTATACATGTATTGTCGAATTTGATGCATTGTAGAATACAACGTTTGGTATGTGTGATTGTGTATGTTGTATCAGCTAAAAGCTGAGACAAAACAATCTCAACTCAACTATCTCAACAATCACAACTAAAAGTTGAGATATAACAATCACTCAAAATGAGTGATAGTTTCTGTCACATCACAGAAACAATCCATGTATTGTTTCTACTAAGAAAACAAAAAAATGATGCATTGTAAACAATACATGCATAATGACAATCTCAACAAAACTATCGCAACTTCCAAACGACCCCTTGGTTTGCTTGAGTGGAATGGTGTCGTGTTATAATATTAATATCATTATCTATACATTGAGGAATAGTTTTTAGTCATCCTCTTTTGAACTTGGAAGTGAGCAGAGTATTGAAAAATTGTGTCCCAATTCAGGTTTGTTATCGACGACCTTCTGCAGCTCAGCTCTAAACTATCTTCGTCCTCGCTACTTGCTTTTCTCGGTGGGTATGTGTGAAACTACAAGCAGAACTAGCGGAACGTCTTGTGCAGCTGATTTCATTTCACCATTATTGGGCTTGGTTATTCTATTGGCCCAATACTTGTCGACCTTCCTGAACAGGGCTAGCTTGCTAAATGAGTAAAGCTCCTGGCCCAATCCTTTTAAACAAGGAATCCCGCCAAGCTACCAAGAACATAGCTGTTTGAGCAAAACTCTGTTTAGCAGAAAATAAGAACACGAACTAGAGATAAAGAAAAGGGAAATGGGAGGTGAGAGAGATGATACCAGTGACGGAGCCACTTGGAGAGGAGGGGTGCCTGCACCCCCTTAGATTTGGAGAAAAAAATTCACTGGTAGCGGTATATACAAATTCGAACCAATGACCATTCAGCTGCAAGAAGAATTTTTTACCATCTCGACAGTAAAGTAATAAATCGTTGTCTTTTGTTTAAACTCGCTCATTTCTTTTGTAGCTCTACAACAGAGAAATTTCTTGTCTTTTGTTTAAACAAACCTGAAAGTGAAGAAGTACCAATTGAAGTCCACTTGTTTGTTTCACAAAATCAATTCCAAGGTATTTCTGAGTTATGATTTGCAATATTTGATGAATGGAAGTCTTGACTTGTATGTACTGAACTTATTTGTTTGACGTTGTAACCAGTGTACGTGAAACTATTTTAATGTAATTGTATGAATTTAGAGTATTGCGTTGTTGACTTTTTGTTTCATTTAAAGTTGACTTTTCTATTGTATATGTGATTTTTTATGATATGATAAAGGCACCCACTTGGCCAATTTTCTGGCTCCGCCACTGCATGTTTGATAAGAAAAATAGTATAGAAACATATTTTATAAAATTGTATAATAGAGAGACATATTACACCTAAAAACCTATATATCCATCATATATATCACGCTACTTGCCAGCAGAAAATAGCGAGCAAACTGCATACTTTATTCAATAATATTAGTAAAAAGCTAGGTTGCTTTCATACATACAGTTTCGCTGGTCTCGCCAAATGACTCTTATCACAGCTGCATCTGCAACCCACAAACTGGAGTTGCTTGCAGCTGCCCCAATGAACCATGACAACACCCATTGCCTTGGCTTTTAAGAAGCTTAATACAACACACATACTCTTAACGCCAAAACAACGTAGTTTAACGAAATGACTTTCACGTGCTGACGAGACAGCGTGACCTTATTTAAACTAACACATGACGATGACGATTATTTAGTAAGCAAGACGTAGATGAACGCCATGCACGTAGGATACGTAGGTGACGGACGCCATGCATGCGCGTACGTACGAGCGAGCTAGGTTTACATCTCCAGAGGTTCCTCTATAGGAATGATGACTTCCTTTGTTGTGGTAGAAGTGAAGAGGCCATCTTCAAGACGATAGGTGACAGCTTCTTCGTCGTTGTAAAGCTTGTCGGTGTAGGAGTAGGAGAAGGGAACCTCACGGGTGGTGGTTCTCTCCTCCAGGGAAAGCCTCACCTGCTTCATCGGAGGCACGGTGTACTCCTCCACTATTTCATTCGTCTTGGTGGTTGTATTGGTTCCTCCCTTCGTGCCTCCTTCAGAGTATTCGCCTGAGAACTCCAGCTTCGCCCCGCCGAGGAACTTGTCCAGAAACAATCCCGGGATCTTAAAATCTATGTTGAGCTTGCCGCCTATCTTCCAAGTCATGGTGCTACTCCAGGTGGCGGTGATGGTCTCCGTCACCACCAACTTGCTAGTCACCTTTCTTGCCGTCGAGGTTCCGTTAGGGAGAATTTTCTTCCCGGGGTCCTTCATGATCGACACGGTGATGGTTCTGGCGTCGCCGCTCCGGATGTCAACGTCGAAGATGCGTCTGTGTTTCACAGGCTCTTCTACCACGAGGTGCGAGTAGCCGTCCATGTGCTGCACGTTTGCTCTGAGGCAGCTGCCGATGTCGGAATCCGAAAATCGCTTGCAGAAGAGGCCGTTGCCGCAGTTCTTGAGGGCTATCTGAACATTATCGGAGTTTCCAGACTCCGCCACCCTAACGACCTGAAACACCGTGTCCTTATTGTCGAAGGAGGCGTCGGTTGAGTCGCATCGAATCCAGTCTCCGTGGGCTGCATCCCGCCTCCAGAAATTTCCGGTTGCAACAGATTGTATACGAATGGTGGCATCCGACGGGTTAACAAAAACCTGGTGCGCCGCAGACGAGTCCTCGATCGTATCGACCGAGAACTGGACTGCATTCACCCAGTACGACCTGTCAGGTGGAGGAAGTATTGGATTGATACCAAAAAAGCCAGGCGTCCCGAAAGAAAGAGGAGGCGAAGGGAAAACGTGAATGCTTGCATGCTTGAGGTACTTGCCGTTGTCTCCCTTGAACGCCACGAGCTTAGGCAGAAGCACCACCGACTCCGAGTAATCCACCACCTCACAAACCTCGGCTTGCACCCGCCTGCCGACCACCAGACGGTCGAACCCTGACTGGCCCGGTTCAGACCCACGACCGAGGTACGAGTTGGACTGGGCGTGCAGGAGTCGAACGACTCCCTTGCCCTCGAACTCGGCCTTGAAGAGTGTACAGGCCCATTTGGACGTGTCCTACTCGGGGGCATCGGCTCCTCCGGAGATCAAGCTCCCCGGTTGGCTGGCTTTCCGCCAGTATTTGTTGTTGTAGCAGCAACTCATATTGTACATGGTCGTGGACCCTCCTCCTCCTCCGGCCTGCCGATGGACGATTGCGTTTGCGCGGAACTTGACGAAAGGGCTCACGATTTCGTCGCCGGAGAACTGGAGCGTGCCATTGGCGTTGGGCTCGTACCGCAAGTACTTGCCGTTGGACTTGCTCTTCAGCGCAAAGTATTCGGGTAGTGCCAATATCGGACCGCTAGTCATGATTCTCTTTGTACTTTTATTCTTCCTTTTGAGAGGTGTATGTGTGAGTATGTGAAGTGGTACGATCCAACCTCATGTCCATCTCTCTATTTATAGCTTCTCCAAGTTGGCTTTGTTTGTTTCCAGCTAAACTTGAAGTTAAAGCATTCAGGAAAAGAAAAGGAAAGTAGTTACATAACAACCCAAAAAAGATAAAAGATTAAAGTTACATTATTTCGGTGTCTTATCATTCCTGATACCATGGTGGTTTGTGAAACTGTATCACAGGAGGTTCAAACGCAAAATATCAGTACTGTCGTGCCGGAGACTAAACCGATAGGCGGTATTTAATGGCATTAATAGTTGAACTACAGTTAAATCACATTTTCCCCATAAAATTAAAAATATGTATCACTGACTTTTCCTGTACGAATTTTACAATTCATGATATTTATAATCTTATAAGGATAGTAAGATACAAAATTTTTTAGGTTTATATTTTATACTGGAACTCGAACATTTATTTGTCGCTATGGTGTATTTAATTTATAGAAAATTTACTGTCTTATATATATTTCATTATTATTTTAATTTAAATATTTTTATCAATTAGATACTCGTCTTCTTTATTCTAAACGGTGTTTCTCTAAATGCTCTCTCTAGAACATATATATATATATATATCTGTAAAAATTACAACATGATCATCCATCACGTTCTATAACTATTATCCAGGATTAATTCCCTAAATACACATTAAACTAAACCAAATTCCTAAACTACCACACTTATAAAAAAAATTCCCAAAATACCTAAGTTTGGAGTGGTTCGAGTTTGAGGAACTCGAACTACTAACCGGTTCGAGTGTAGAAGACTCGATCTACACGTAAATCGATGATATAAGCCTCGAACCATGTGGGGCTGAAGTGGTTCGAGTTCAGTGAACTCGAACCACTACTTTGAAATTTCCAATCACCATAACTTTGTCCTCGGTTATCCGATCGTAGCAAACTTTTTTTTCATTTCGCATAACTTTTCGAGGACTACAACTTTTATAATTGAAATATTTTCAGAATATATGTGAAAATGTGAAAATTAAAGTTAAAGTTACTCGCAAAACCCCTTATATTAGAAACTATTCCTATTTTGAAAATTTATTCCTAGTAAATGTTGTAGTACTCAAAAAATTATGCAAAATAAAAAAAAACTTTGCGACGTTTGGATTGCGGAGCACAAAGTTATGATCCTCCAAAGTTTGACAAATTTGAAAATTTGCTCGTTTAATTTATGGGTAGCAAATGACGTTTTCTAAGATAGCCATCCAAAAATGTCTTGTTTGTAAAAATATTGCTCTTTTGGCAGAAATTTTCTATATATAAAAAAAATTCATGTGCCTTCGCCCCGAGAAAATGTCATTTGTTACCCCTAAACGAGCAATTTTTCGATTTTGCCAAACTTTAGAGGATCATAACTTTGTGCTCCGTAATCCAAACGTTGCAATGTTTTTTTTTATTTTGCATAATTTTTTGAGTACTACAACATTTACTAGGAATAAATTTTCAAAATAGGAATAGTTTCTAATATAAGGGGTTTTGCGAGTAACTTTAACTTTAATTTTCACATTTTCACATATATTCTGAAAATATTTCAATTATAAAAGTTGTAGTCCTCGAAAAGTTATGCGAAATGAAAAAAAAGTTTGCTACGATCGGATAACCGAGGACAAAGTTATGGTGATTGGAAATTTCAAAGTAGTGGTTCGAGTTCACTGAACTCGAACCACTTCAGCCCCACATGGTTCGAGGCTTATATCATCGATTTACGTGTAGATCGAGTCTTCTACACTCGAACCGGTTAGTAGTTCGAGTTCCTCAAACTCGAACCACTCCAAACTTAGGTATTTTGGGAATTTTTTTTATAAGTGTGGTAGTTTAGAAATTTGGTTTAGTTTAATGTGTATTTAGGGAATTAATCCATTATCCACGTACAAATATTCCATATTTCCATTAGTATGTAGTTCTCGAAACCATAAGGTGCACACGTTGCCATTGAAACTTTATTCCTAATTTATATTATATATTGATATCATATCTCTTTCCAAAAGTAGCGAAGAAAACTTTACACTACAATACAAGCCACTGGTAGTTACAGTCTTCACAGTGGGTCGGTACGTATTATTATAAGGGGGCATTTTGTATACGTGGACCTATTTCCCCACGTCACCTTGTACACGTGGGTCTTCAAGCCATTAAAAGGGTGACATATGTATAGCAATAATTACTATTATTATAATTATCATCCTAATTTATTCTCTCTTTCCGCAGTTCTATCTAGGGGTGAACAAATACACCCGCAAACCGACCCACCCGTCCAATCCGACCCAACCCACCCGTATTTATCGCTAAATTGAAGGTTTTGGGTTGGGTGAGGGTTTTCTTTTGTACAACCCGCCTCTTTTGGGTTGGGTTTGGATTTTGGATTACACAACCCGTAGAACCCGACCCAACCCGTGTTCCAATTATTGGTACGAGTTTGTATCCAAAAAAGTATTTATGTCGTATATAGTCATACTTATGAGAAAATTAAGATATTTCACCATATTTTTCTCTTAAAGTCTCACTAATCTAATGCATTCTTCGACTTAAAGTTTAGACATATATTTAATATAGCCATGATTCAAGTAATTTTTTTTTCTTGTGTACAATTTTAAAAGAATATCATATTATGGATGTGTTCATTTGTAACCTTTTTAGCCTATTTCAACAAATGTCGTGAAAAAAACTAGACATAAGTTGAAGTAAATCAAGTTTTATTAAAATTCTAACAATATTTGTGAATTTTGATACCTTTCACCTCGGTTTATTCGTTTGAATTTTTAATTTGTTATAAAATATTTTTATGATGTAGTATAATTACATATTTTGTGTTGGGTTGGGTTTTTACTTAAAAATATCGCCAACCCGACCCAACCCAATTAGAAACAAACCGTAGGGTTTAGATTTTTTTGGGTGGGTTTGGGTTTAATATTTTCCAAACCGTAGTACATGGGTCGGGTGATTAAAATGCCTAACCCGGACCACCCGACCCATGTACACCCCTACTATCCCCATAATTTTCTCTTTTCACCTTGAATTGTTCCTTTGGAATCCATAACATAGAGACCAACGCATTCATACCCTATTTTGATTAATTAATATTACCTTGATGTCCGGCTTGTCAGCAGGAGAAATTGGAACATAATTTATTTTAGGGTAAACACTACTTATTAGTTTTTATTTTAATACTATAACATATCAAAAACATAATGTCTTGACAGACTTTGTGTGTTTGATTCAGATCTCTAGTCTAAAATTGGGATAAAATTAAATCTTGTCATTCATAGCGTCTGCATGGAATTCATATATGAGATTTAAAAATCTAAAGTTAGATTAAAAAAAATCCAACTCAAATGCCAAGTTAGTATGTATGAATAGAGTCGCGGATTGGCTCTTGAAGCACAGTCTCATCTATTCCTATGATATGTATGAATTGGCGAATCCAGCCACTGAACTAGCTTCGACTATCAGAGATGACATGATGAGTGTTAGACTGTTAGTTTTGAGGGCAATATAATGGCCCCCTCTGTATCCCTCTCCTTATAGTCTGCTTGTAATCCTCTCTTCTTAGTTTTATGATTAAATTAAAATAGTCAATTGCAAGTTAATTGCATTTGTGTGGATGCAATGAAAGTAGTATGATTTGGATTGCTGACAATTGAGATGACAATAAATAGCACAAATACAATTACATGTACAATTGCATTGATGTGGATGCTCTTATACATATAAGTGATGAAGAAACACATAGACAAAGACCTTATAAAACACTAAACAAGGTAACCTAAAACTAGTTAAAAACGAACAAGGATTTGGTCTAATGATATTATTATCACTAGCTTTCAAACCGAAGGCAGTGGCGGAGCCAAAGGGTGAGGAGGGGTTTCCATGACACTCCTTGCTTTGGAGAAACCCACAAACATTGTTGTACGAATATGTCCATAAGGAAATTTTGACCCCAAATCTCAATGATAATTGTCACATATTTACAATCCAACCACGATTAATTATATTAATTAATTTTACCTAGTAAAGAATATAATTTAGTTTATCAAAGAACGTAACTCTCTTCCTTTTTCTATTCTCAAACATAGGGATGACAATGGGTCGGTTTTGCCTACCATCCCCATCCCCATCCCCCTTTTGAATATCCATACGACCATACCCATACCCGCCTTATAACCATGCAGGCTAAGGTTTTGCAAACTCGTCTCCATACCCGTGGGTTTCGGGTACCCATGGGTAATACCCGCCACGTACATCCGACATCATAATACCTAAAATATTGTATGTAAATTTTCAATTATAACATTAAACGCACCTGCTATATCATGAAGTTGACAAAGAGACAATCATTCTTTATATGGCTCAAAGCATCTTATCCTTAAACATCCATTAATTCATAAGATATAGTACAATATAATCCAAATCATTATTCTCTGATTTTGATACATCTACTAATTAATAACTAACTAACATAATCTTGTTAACACGAGGGAAAAAGCGAAAGAATGAAGGGAGAGTTGAGGAAAAGGAATTATGTTTTGATTTGCTTGGTTACTCAATTGCATTTTTACTATTTGTTTTCTTGAGGTACCCTCACTATCATTGATAGATCACAATTTGATCCCTATATTATTTATATGTGAAGAAATACTCTTTGTGGGGCGGGTATGGGTATGGGGCGGGGGAATTTACAACCATACCCGTCCCATACCCATTAAATATTTTACGGGTTTTATCCATACCCGCCCCATACCCAGTCAAAGCGGGGATTCTACGCGTTGACTAGGTCGGAGGCGGTCGGGTACCCGTGGGCATGAGTTTGATTGCCATCCCTACTCAAACCCACGTCCCAATTCTTCTCATTTCCTTAACCTCATAATCCTCCTCTTCTTCTTCTAATAATAACCCTTACGTACACCGCCAAAGATCCGTACCTACAACAACTAGTCACGAAAGACTTTAGTAAAGGCATTGACTTTGAGGAGATATTTTCACATGTGGTGAAAATGACATCCATCCGTACAGTGTTCGGACTAGCAACAACTCTTAACCTGGAGGTTGAGCAAACGAATGTGAAGACAATTTTCCTTCATGTTAATTTGGAGGAAGAGATTTACATGGAGTAGCCGGAAGGCTTCAAGAAGGAGATTACTTCATTTAATGCCCGATCAAAATATATTGGTATATTTTCGATATCACTGGATTCGAGATATACTTGAAACGAAGTAGCTACAGCCGGAGAAGGTTCATACTGATGAAAATGGATCAGACATGTGTACGAATACTCTTGAAGTGAAAAAGTTTGAATTCTGTTAATAAGCCGCAGGGATGACGAAACTTCTCATGTAGTCGGGCAGAGGGAGAATTGTGAGGCCCGCCCACATCCCTTTTGAAGGAAGAAGGTGGTGATGATTGAATTTCCATCGAATTGGTCGTTGGGAATTTGAATACCCTCACCTCACTATGCACTATAAAAGGAAAATGATTTTCTCCATCTTCAGCATCCCATCTCATTTCATTCATCTTCCTGATCATTTGCTTGGTTCCATTGCTAGCTTTTGAGCTATTTCATTTCTGTGAGCTTTGGTTGTAAAACGTTTTAACAGCCACGGGTGGATATGAGATTTTCTTGTGTGTGAAATAATAAGGATGTTTGGGAAACATCGAGTGTTCTATTTTCTTGTATGTTGAAATTCTCTGTAACCTACTGTTGCAATAGTGAAGAAATACTCCGGAGCTGCTGTTCTCGTGGACTGGCCCAAAAATCAGGGTATACCATGTAAATCCTGTATGCCATTTATTATTGTCTATATGCATGTTGTTATTTTGAGAATAGTTGTAGTATATTGCATTATCAAATTACCAAATTAAATTATTTATCGTTAGTCTGAAAATATATTCACCTGCTATTCTCATCATGCACGCGGCACCCAACAAAACACTCCTTTAGAGTCACTATCTCTACTGTCGTGCATCATCAAAATGTGTTCGAAGTCGTGTACATGTTCGCTCTCATCACCCTCGTTTGGAACAAGTCTGGTCATTTTAAATTATACTTCGCCAGCTGACACTCCAGGCATTAAAAAGGACAGTCCCGACCTTTCATCAAAATAGCAAGGAAACCAAGAGACTACTTGCATACAATTATACAAACACTAAAGTAATCGACCAGGACATTAATACATGCAGTCGATCCAATTTACTGAGCAATGGCGAACGTACAGTTCAGTACTTCTCGCTGTCTTTTGGATCAACAACAACCCAAATACATCTCCGAGACAGCGTGACCTTATTTAAACTAACACATGACGATGACGATTATTTAGTAAGCAAGACGTAGATGAACGCCATGCACGGTAGGATACGTAGGTGACGGACGCCATGCATGCGCGTACGTACGTACGAGCGAGCTAGGTTTACATCTCCAGAGGTTCCTCTATAGGAATGATGACTTCCTTTGTTGTGGTAGAAGTGAAGAGGCCATCTTCAAGACGATAGGTGACAGCTTCTTCGTCGTTGTAAAGCTTGTCGGTGTAGGAGTAGGAGAAGGGAACCTCACGGGTGGTGGTTCTCTCCTCCAGGGAAAGCCTCACCTGCTTCATCGGAGGCACGGTGTACTCCTCCACTATTTCATTCGTCTTGGTGGTTGTATTGGTTCCTCCCTTCGTGGCTCCTTCAGAGTATTCGCCCGAGAACTCCAGCTTCGCCCCGCCGAGGAACTTGTCCAGAAACAATCCCGGGATCTTAAAATCTATGTTGAGCTTGCCGCCTATCTTCCAAGTCATGGTGCTACTCCAGGTGGCGGTGGTGGTCTCCGTCACCACCAACTTGCTAGTCACCTTTCTTGCCGTCGAGGTTCCGTTAGGGAGAATTTTCTTCTCGGGGTCCTTCATGATCGACACGGTGACGGTTCTGGCGTCGCCGCTCCCGGTGTCAACGTCGAAGATGCGCCTGTGTTTCACAGGCTCTTCAACCACAAGGTGCGAGTAGCCGTCCACGTGCTGCATGCTTGCTCTGAGGCAGTTACCGATGTCGGAATCCCAGAATCGCTTGCAGAAGAGGCCGTTGCCGCAGTTCCTGAGGGCGATCTGAGCATTTTCGGAGTTTCCAGACTCCGTCACCCTAACGACCTGAAACACCGTGTCCTTGTTGTCGAAGGAGACGTCGGTCGAATCGCATCGAATCCAGTCTCCGTTGGCTGCATCCCGCCTCCAGAAATTTCCAGTTGCAACAGATTGTATACGAATGGTGGCATCCGACGGGTTAAAAAAAACGTGGTGCGCCGCAGACAAGTCCTCGATTGTATCGACCGAGAATTGGACTGCGTTCACCCAGTACGACGTGTCATGTGGAGGAGGAAATATTGGAGGAGGAAGTAATGGCATTAGGGGTGGGTATTGGTTTGACCAAACCGCTCCAAACCGCCCCAAACCGCTTATGCGGTCAATCCAAACCGCATCATTAAACTAACGGTTTCATTTGCGGTCTGATCGTTAAGTGCTTGGCGGTTCACGGTTCGGATTGACCCAAACCGCGCGGTTGCGGTTTGAAACCACAATCCGCTAAGATCGAGTACGCAGAAGTGAGAAGTTGAAACCACAATCCGCTAAGATCGAGTACGCCTCTTCTCAACACACGACAGTAGCTTTCCTCTCGGCGACGACGCCATCTTCTTTCCGGCGGCACCATCTTCTCTCCACGGCGCCATCTTCTCTCCGGCAGGCGGCAGCACCAGATCTGACCATTCTCTGGTTCCGCCATCTTCTCTCCACGGCGCCATCTTCCCCAGCTTTGGCGGACTGTCAAATACACCAAGAGGCGGGAGATTTCTAGGATCGAAGGCATCTCGATCTTTCCCATTCTCGGAGCTCCGGTGCTTTGGCCGACTATCAAAAACACCTGTACCGGCGAGATCAGGTATGCTTTTCTCCTTTGGTTCTATATTTGAAGTTACGGATCTAGGGCAGCTCTGTGTAAAGCTGCATCCAGTTGAAACCCACCCCCTACAAAATTCGATTACTGATAGTGAATAGTGTGATTTCCTCGAAACCCATATAGTCATAGTTTTCGTTCCCAATTCGTTGGAGAAAGAAGCCCTCTCCAGCTCCAGGGTCGCACTCAATTCCGAATCTCACTGTTGTTCTTGGGTCGTAGGGTTCTTATGCCACCTCATCAACCCTCGATTCCTCCTGGGTCGTAGTGTTCGTAGCTGCAATGTGGTAACAAGGGTCGTAGTGTTCGTAGCCCTCTCCAGCTCCAGGGTCGCACTCAAGATCCACTTAATTTGGGTTCTCAACGTGGTTCCATTATCTGCAGAGATTAATCTGGTTGTGTCAGCTTTCCATGTGATGATAGCTTCTGCCTAATGTTCTTCACCAGCTCTTAGTTTTACCTTACCTATCTTAAATTATCCCAGGAGCTGTTTTCACTGTCATGTTTCTCTTGTATGGAAAATGTAATCAAAATGGACAGTAAGAAAGATCAAGGATATTTAGATTAGTGTTAATGTCAGTTCAATGTTCATATGCTTGCAGGGAAAAATGAAATCAAAAGACTCGAAGGGAAAACGAGCTCAAGCACCGATATCTAGCAGCAATGTGCTTAATGACAGTGAGGTGAGTGTAGATGCATACACTGTCAAGTAGGGGAATGGGTTTTATCATTTAGCATCTAATTTCGTGAATCTATTCCCTACGGTCAGTGTGACCTTTTCTGGACCTTGTGATGAATGCATGCTTTGATCTCTGTACTCTTGTGGGTGGATCATACTTGCTGCTGGAGTTGCCACTGCATTATCGATGTCTGCAAGGTCCCAAAGCCAGCTTCCTCCTCCTTCACCTTTCTAAGCACACATACTAGTCTAGTTAGGTTGTATATGGAATCATTGCAACTCCGATATCCCCAGTTCAAGTTTTATGGCTGAATTTTCTTTGAAAGCAAGAGAAACATTGTCTATGATAGAAGACATGGAGAGTGTAATGAACTTCTTCCAAATCACTTGTGATGTGAGATCGCCTTTCAATCAATCTTATTTGTATTTGTTTTAGGCTGTGTGTGTCATTCCCACTTATCATTTGGCAGTGACTTATCAGAAGGCTGATCTGGTATTCACTTCCTGCCAATGGTATTTCAGAAAAGGAAACCAAGTTGGGGGAAAAGGTTCATGTCGTGTCTTTGCACAATGAATCAATGATCAGTGCCTTTTTCCCCATATTATATTGGGCTGGATTGATTGGGCTCATGTTATATTGCTGGGAAGTGATGACTTGACAAAAAGAGCCCTTAATTAATCAGACTTTTTAGTGCCAAGATCTTAGCATAAGGAAACCAATACTATATTTGCACTCATATTTGCTATTTTACCTTACTGTTGTGCTTCAATTTGGAAGGGCTTTATAATTTTATTCTTTATGTTCTTATGTCATGTTCTCATTTACTCTATTATTGCTAAGGCAGTCTTTCGTGATCAATTTTGTTTTAGTTGATGGGATATATAGTTGCAGCAGCTTTAATATATATACTCCTTATGAACTAGTAGGAAATTATATATAGTTGCAGCAGCAGAGACCTACTCCCTATGAACTAGCAGGAAATGATGGTCTTTCATATTGAGATGTTAATGGAGAGCTAATCTGTGGAACTTAGTTTCAGTTGGGGACTCACAGAATCCACCATCGGGAACAACCCTCTTCCTGCTGCAGAACCCATTCCCGTTGAAAGAGGAATCCTGCGGCAGAGGAGTCGAGGAATTCTAGTTTGGGTACATAAACTTCTAGTATGGGTGCTGCGTACTCGCAGAAAGCATGCTCATGTAAATAGCATATGATTTGCAGTTATCAAACAATACCAGCAACTTCCTTAATTATGTACAAACCATAATGAATTGCGGTCAAGATGCGGTGCGGTTTAAACCGTATCAAACCGTTAATTTATGCGGTTTGGTTTGACCGCACCGATAACTTAGCGGTCGAAATGTGGTGCGGCTCGATTGAGATGCGGTGCGGTGCGGTTTACATCAATGCGGTGCGATGCGGTCCGAACCGCACCGATACCCACCCCTAAATGGCATAGGGTTCCCGAAAGAAAGAGGAAGCGGAGGGAAAACGTGAATGCTTGCATGCTTGAGGTACTTGTCGTTGTCTCCTTTAAACGCCACGAGCTTAGGCAGAAGCACCACCGACTCAGAGTAATCCACCACCTCACAAACCTCGGCCTGCTCCCGCCGGCCCACCACTAGTACACGGCCGGGCCCAGACTGGCCCAGGTACGAGTTGGACTGGGCGTGCAGGAGCCGAACGACTCCCTTGCCCTCGAACTCGGCCTTGAAGAGTGTACAGGCCCATTTGGACGTGTCCTCCTCGGGGGCATCGGCTCCTCCGGAGATCGAGCTCCCCGGTTGGCTGGCTTTCCGCCAGTATTTGTTGTTGTAGCAGCAACTCAGATTGTACATGGTCGTCGACCCTCCTCCTCCTCCGGCTTGCCGGTGGGGGACTGCGTCTGCGCGGAACTTGACGAAAGGGCTCACGATCTTGTCGCCGGAGAACTCGAGCGTGCCATCAGCGTTGGGCTCGTACCGCAGGTACTTGCCGTTGGACTTGCTCTTCAGCGCAAAGTATTCTGGCAGTGCCAATATTGGACTGCTGCTCATGATTCTGTTTTTTTTCTTTCTTTCTTTCTTTCTTTCTTTCTTTCTTTCTTTCTTTCTTTCTTTCTTAGGGAGATGTGTACGATTGCGTGAAGTGGCACGACAATCGACCCTTATGCCAATCTCTCTATTTATAGGTGTTGATATGACTTGAATCGGACTATCAGCCGCTACGACTGGTAATCGGGGGTCTCGCTAGATTGGATTAGGTTTAGACCCACATGGAGAAGTACTATAAATACTTCTCATACTCCTCTGTAATCTGTAATCTCCTCAGATATAGTGAAACTGGCTCTCTCTCGCCCGTGGACGTAGCTAACACACATCGTGTTAGTGAACCACGTAAATCGTGTGTCGTGTTTTCGATTCTCGCTTTCGTATTCTTGCTTTGTCGATCTCGGCGATTTCCCGATCCGTAGCAGCGCGTTTATAACAAGTGGTATCAGAGCCGCGGCTGGAAATCAGGCTAGGGTTTTCGATTCAGAAGAATGACGTCGGTGAACATGAAGATCGAAAAGTTCACGGGGAAGAACAGCTTCGCTATATGGCAGATCAAGATGCAGGCTTTATTAAAACAGCAAGGGCTGTGGGGGCCGCTGTCTGCGAAACAGAAGAAGGCAGCGGTCGATGACGATGAGTGGAATACCCTAGAGGAGAAGGCCCACTCGACCATCATGCTATCGCTGTCTGATGACGTCATCATTGAAGTCGCTGCTGAGAAGACTGCCGCGGGCTTGTGGTTGAAACTAGAGAGTCTGTACATGACTAAGTCTCTAACCAACAAGCTGCATCTCAAGCAACGGTTGTTCAGCTTGAGGATGCAAGAAGGTACACCTTTGAGGGAACATCTCGAACAACTTAACTCTATTTTGCTGGATCTGCGTAATATAGATGTTCAAGTTGATGACGAGGATGCTGCCCTAATCCTGCTGGTTTCTTTGCCGAGTTCATATGAGAACTTTGTTGATTCTTTTATTGCTGGTAAAGAAAGCGTGTCGTTGGAGGATGTCAGGTCTGCTCTTCATACGAGAGAGATCAGACATAAGGCGTCCGGATCTGGTACAGGTGGTGAGGCATCGGGTTTGGCTGTTACAGGTGGAAAGGGAAAGAAGAAATCTGGTAAAGGGAATTCGAGCAAGAATTCCAAGGGTCCCGGTCCACAGCCAGGTGATGCTTGTCACAACTGTAAGGAAGTGGGGCATTGGAAGTACAACTGTCCCAAGAGAAGAGGGCAACAGAAGAAACAAGGTTCAGTTGCCGTGGCAGAAGTGGACAACAGTTCTGAAGACGATCTCGCCTTGGCTGTAGATGAGAAGGCAC